AATGCTTTAAAAGAATATTTACATTTTTCTTCTTATAAATGTCTTAATTTTTTGTATACTAGTAAAAAATACTACTTAAATTTTTTTCAATATTAAAAATAGATATGGCATAAATAATAAAAGATAATTCTTCTTATAGAGTATGCATAAAATTACTTACATCTACATATAAAAATTTAGAAATAATAGACTTATAACTTTCTACTTAATAGACTTCTAACTTTCTACTATATATATATATATATATATATTATGTTATAAAAAAATCAAGATTACAAGATACTTAGTCTATTCAAGGATTATACTTTTTTAGTCACAAAAAATCTAAAATAATTAGATTGAAAAGAGATCTAATAATATTAAATATTATAAAGTTTGTATAACTATTAGTTATTATTTTTTCAAAAATAACTTCATTTATAAGAATTTTAGAAGATTTTAAACAACCATCTATGACTTCTATATTTTGAAATTTAGTTTTTTTTTTCTAAGAATATTTTTATTTTTTAACAGAGTCTTTGCCAATAAAACAAGTTGAGGCTTGTAAAATTAATAAAGTAGAGACTTTATAATTTTTTGGTCCTAAATAAACATCTATTGTAAAAAAAACAAAAGGATCTAAAGAGAGAATAGGATTTATTATTGGTATTGCATAAGATTTCAACTGCACAATTATTATTACGATTGAACAAACATATTTTTTAAAAAACTATCATTTTTGGCGACTATGCACTTTATTTTATGATTGTGTTGCTTCTTTGAATAATATTGAGCAATGTTCTTAGATTTTATACAATATAAGCACAATCATTCTTAACAATGTTAAGTCTTTTTTTTGCTCACTAAAAAATATAAAATATATTGTATTAATTTGTATAGGCTTTGGGCTTGATAAATATGTTTCTAAAAACTTAATACTTATTATCATAATGTAATTTATTCTTTTTTAGCTAAATCTTTACTCTTAGCATCTTTTTAAAAATTGATTAAAGTAAGTAATGGCTCAAGCAATAATTTTCTCTAATGAATTTTTTTTTTTTGACATTGTTAATACTAAAACTTTAACATTATTTTTTACTCTATTTCAAAATTGATTCTTAAGGGCTTTATCATTCTAATCCATTTTGTAAGTAAGGTTTTAAAATTTTACAATATAATTGATAGATGAATGTGATCATTATTGTAAAGATAGGAATTTGATCTCTACTATTTTTTTTAATTATTTTTTTCTAAATCTTTGATATAATAATTTTAAAATCATACTTATAATAGTAAAACTTCTAAAAATTAATTATAAATTTTATCTACTTATTTTCCTCTATTACACAATTTCTTAGTGTATACATTAAATTTTATTGTTGATTACTTCCATAAGCATAAGAATAATATCTCCATAGTTGACATTTGTAATATGTAAAATTTCTATCCTAAGAGTATTGAAAATCTTATGAATATCTACAATATTTGCAAATATATTGTCACTTTTTTTGAGTGCAACATCTATAATTCTTTCTATTATTTTTATAATAAACGACTTTCATAAATCGACAAGTTAAATAAAAAGAAGATAATCCACAACCTCTAATACCAAATAAAAAAAATTCTAAAAAAAAAAAAAATCATCTATTTTTTTAAAGAAAAAAATCAATGTTAGAAAACAAAAAAAATTAGTTTCAAGGTAAATAGTCTGCAATCTTTAAAGCACAATAAAATAATTGGTGTAATCTATTCACTTCTAAACAAAACAAAAATAGTAAATTAGCACTCTTTTCAAACTGTCAAAGATACAAATCAGAAACAAAAAAAATTCCAATGTATTCTTATATCACAAGAAGAGAGTAAATAATCACACTTAAAGATAGTATAATATTAAGACTAGAATAGCTATTGTTAAAGATAAGAAGACTAAAGACTCTTTAGATAAGACTAAAAATAAGAATAGAGTTGACAAGAGTGAAGATGGTCTTACTCTTACCTCCATATATACTATTTAATTAGAAGTTATATGGCAATATTTCAAAGGACCTATAATACATCTTCAACTTGTAAGATATATGTCTAACTTGTAAGGTAAATTTCTTACATGTGTATTGCATGGCCAACATATATCACATGTCTCCAATATGTAAACATGTAGCCAATTTGTTGGTTAAGATTTAAACCTACCAAATATCTACAAATACGTAATTAATCAAAAATACATCTATGAAACTTCTAAGAAGCTTTTCTAAAAGATATTATCAAATCTATTTACTTCTATTTACTTCTATTTAATCCCTGAAATCTATATAAAAATATATATCCATGATATAAGATGGCATAGTACCTCCTTTTTGTAGTCTTATTGATTGATTAAATGTACAAGATCAAGAAGCACCACCTTTGTGGCATCTTTGAACATAAAATTTTTTAAAAGAAATTATTTTTAAACCATATTGTTAACCAAATATTTAGTGAATCAATAGTTTAGGCTAGTAAATTCCATGATTGTTAGGTAAACCATGTACAATTATTGTTTGGTTTGTAGTATTTGTATTTAATTGATTGAATGACTATTATGATGGATAAAGACTTAGAACCAGTAGATGAAAAGTAGAATAGTTGAAGACCAAAATGGATAAAGTTTCTTTTAGAGCAAAAGATAGCAGCTAGGATTTGAAGGATAATGAGGGCTTTCAACCCTCTTTGTATTCACTTTCTTATGTATTGTTTGTGTATTGTTGTTGTTGAAGAGTAGTAGGAGGATGTAAGAAGTCAGAAATAAGACAAGGACCAAGAAGAGGACTTAAAAGGCTATTTTAGGATCAATATATATATACATAGATATATATATATATATATTTACAATAGACAACCAATATTAAAGCCTATAATGATAAAAGAATAAAATTGTATCTTATTTATTACATCTAAGGTTGAATGGGCAATTTTTGGTCAATCTAATTTGTAGATATTGTAGATTAAGTAATTGCATATATAGATCTATATTAGATCTAAGTGAATGATTCAAATTTGGTTGTAGATGTGAATTTCAAAGATTCAAGATAAAAAACAATGTTAGGACCAAAAATAATATTAGAAAAAATATTTTATTTTATTTTAAAGATTTGAATTATTTACTTAGATTTAACATAGATCTATATATCCAAGACAATATTAGTCTCCAAAATTGGCAATATCAAAACCTTAAAAATTACACACCCTTAAATGATAGAAGCTAAAAACATGTTCTTGCACTTCTACAAAATAAAAAGATATCCTAGTGAATAGAAGCACTCTATTACTACTCCAAGACTAATAAAGTCAAATTATACCTTTTCCATGTGTTGCAATACCAAGTACTTTTGAAAGTCCAAATTAACACATTTTTTTGTTATAACTATTGTATGAGCATTCAAAGTATTTCATAAGTTAGCATCTTTTGGCAAATTCAAAGTATGAAGCATCATAACGTGGTCTGATTAATGTCCTTCTACTTCTTTTATTATCAAATTTAGATTATCACTACAAACAATATTTCCACCAACAATGACAATATCACAATACACTCTCATTTCAAATATTTACTTCTAAAAATTTATATCAAATACCTACATAAAGTGCCACTTGTTGGTTGTAATTTTTTTATCCAATATCATTACATACTTTAGAGTAGACATAGACAAATTTTAACTTGTTTTGTACAACAACTACACATTTGCAAACTTGCATGCTTTAAGTGCAACCTCAATTACATCTTTGCTTTTAAAATCCTCCACTGCCACATCAATCTTCATACATGCACTTTACACAACAACAATTGCCTTCTTACAAAAATATGATAGCAAATGATGCATTCCAATTACAAGGATGGTAGCCATGAATATGGTATGGGAATAGAGAATAAGGAACTTGGAATGGAAACTAGTTTGGAGACATGGAATGGGATACAAAATGAATCATTTAGTGGGAAGAAGGGATGTAGATTTAACAAAGTTGGAATGTAACTTTAACAAGTCTATCTCTATATATATTGGATTAAATTAGGATTGAACAAATTGCAATGGTCCATGAGAACTGACTACATTCTACTCCAAATCCATTGATGCCAAAAAGTTATACCAAGATGCTTGGAACTATATGCATTGGCAATATAACACTAGTTTTAAATTTGAGTTGCTAAGTTGTATCTAGTTATTATTTTATTTTTATTATTATTAGGAGGAGTAACATAATGAGAATGTTAAAAAAGAGAGAATATACAATTGAAATGCAATAGGAGCTCTGAGAAGTGATGCTTACTTATAAATATGTCAATTATAGAAACCTGTATATAATTATATTTAAATATTCTACCACCAATGTGCATATAAATAAATTCATGGATATATACATCAATGTTTTTGAAATACATCCCAAGTCCCTCATCCCCAGTTCCTGTACCCATCACTTTTTTTGAAATGATTCAATTTTTTTGAACTTAAAAGAGATTTCCAAAAAAAAAACATTTCTTGCACACAATGATGCTGTTGTACAAAACCATGTTTCATAAAAGCTTCATTGAAACAGAAATCTTGTGTTCTCGTATTTCCAAGTATCAAATAACAAAAACCAAACAAGTTTTCATTCAAGTTGAACATGTGGAAGACCACTACTTCTAAGTTTTCCCACTGACGTCATCTACTCTTGCACCAACCTGCCAACACAAAGACACTGAAAAATTCATTTCCATCTTTGGTGGTTGAACTCTTCCAATTTCCATATTCTGGACCTTGCAATTTATCAGCATCCAAGAACTTGCTCGCAAACAAATAACCTCACACCTTCAAACTCAAAGACAAAACCAACAAGACCAAGTGAAATGAATTGACTAGACGACGATGGCGTATCAGCAACAACAGCCAAAGATTTGAGCACCAGTGAACAACACTAAGCATGGAAAGGATTGACACCAATTCCAAAGAAACCAAGAGAAATCTTGGAAAACAAATCTTGTCAAAGTGAGATGGTAATGGAGCAAATGAGTGGTAACAAACTTATTCCACATTGCGAAGTAAAATGTCAGAATCCAGGAAATAGTACGCGTCAATTAATGAGTGTCGAACTTAAAGAATAGGAAGAAAATGAATTGGAAGGTATAAAAACCACGATTTCATTATGGTCTCCTCCCACGAATGTTTTTTGAAAAACTATCACGGATATTCTCTCCTCCCTTCACATGATCTGACACCATTAGCTCAAATTGTTCCCTTTTGAACCGCCGAACTGCATTGACAGAATTTGGCTTTTGCTAGCTGCTCTCAATGCTGAGACATACGGGCCTTGTTTGGAGCCGTAATTAAGCATCATTGGCTTGGAGCATTGCTCTGGCGCATTAACAAGAAGCTGATCCTCAAAACTGGACTTTCCTACTTGATCCTTTGATGTCTTAGGTACTGCAAGGGTGTATTCTTTCACACCAGACGTGGACGCTGAATGCCTCGCGCACAGCAAGTATTCCAGCAACACAATTGCTGCATGCTTGCTGCTGTTCGCTTCGTTGTTAACAGTCTCGTTTGCGCTCTGTCAAGGGAATTGCAGCAACTTTCAGAATGATAAGTTCGTAAACATTCAATTACAACGAAACCGTCCTGATTCCGTTCACTAAAGAAGCGATGCACTTGGAGGGAAGATTACCATAGTGCAGGCAGGACAGCCGAATTTGCAGTCACATGTTTTTAGCACACTCAAGGCATGTCTCCAAGCCTGTTCGACAACTTTGTACGCCTGCACAAAATGTCGATGAACCAAACATAACAACACAAGAAAATGTCAGGTTGATCAGAGCCATATTAAACGTCACACGGACGATTCACGAATTGTCAGAATGAATTGACGAATTCGAGAAGTTTAGCTAAAACTAAAGTGAATAACCTGATTATACCTGTTCAGCTATGCCAATACCCCCAGCAAATGCATCATACACAAAAATCTGCACAGTAAAACTGGTACTCAGAAAGTAGGCATGGGTAGTAAAATATGGCCATGCAAATATTGAAATATCTCTTTCTAGAAATTCGAGGGATACATTAAAGAAACAAATATGTGGTCACAGTACTAGGCACATCACATACGATCGATCCCCTTCCTTTATGAATGCATCGTTGCATACCAATCTTCGTCTAGGTTCTTTTGTAATGAGATGTCTATCAAACATAATCAGGATCTTCAGCAACCCAATAAGTTGGCGCGACTGACATGACGCACATGCATTACATTCTGACCGTAAGCACAGAAACAATACCTGAGGTTGTTCAGTTTGCTCGTGACCCAGAGTTTCTAGCCCAAGCATGTCAGTCGGGTCACCTGGAATGGAGAACGTTTAGAATTACCCCCCAATCGTTTCTATTTGCAGCTCAAGTACAACAGAGACCCAAAATGCTTCACTATTAAAAACAAGGTTTTGAAAGAACTACGGAAGCTCATAAACTCTTGAATAGAGATATCCTGAGGTGCAAACAAACTAGAAAAGTCACGATCTCTTATTCCAAGATCAAAACTATATCGGAAATTCCCATTCACGAGCCCACATCTGGATTAGTTTTACGTACTCATGGTCATAGAAGCAAGAAGAGGAAGGATTACACGCCTCACAACGAGTAGAGTCTCATACGCCATGTGCTTCAGCTTTTGCATGACCTCTGCAGGCAGGTCCCACCACTGCAGTATATGGTTTCTGCATTATAAGTACACGAACTCGGATACATCCGAACAATGCAAATAAAGATCGTAAGTGGATCAAGCTCATGCAAAACGATCACTGAGATCGCATAGGCGGGATTCCAAATCTCTCGTCACAGATATAATCGTGAACGACAAAGATGTGTTTTCTACGATTACAGTTTCTATGACTTCAAGTTGATGAAGCATTGTTAAAACCTACCAGTCCAACAGTTTTAAAAATGGTGGGAGGGTACTTCAACATGACAGTGTCAACGTGTTTGTTTTGCGTTAAATCATATTCACTATATCCCATCACTTGCTCAATGACTTCAAGCTGCACACACGCGATCACAGAAACCCTTAAGGTCTTTGAGAGTATTGTAATGCTATCAACAACACCCTCGGTCATCAGATACAAATACCTATATTGCCTGAACCGGAAACATAACTCTTGAACAAAGAAGCACTGCGTTCGTGAAATATACGGCTAAGTGATTAGAACGGAAACAGTAAGTACCTTTCCCAGATGTATGCGTGTTCCCAGAGTCACTCGAGAGGCCATCTTATCCAATATTTGTACTTTCGTTTTCACGCTCACCTCTAAATTGACAACACATGACGGCGTTGGAAAGAGCCAGATTCTAAATTGAATTGAGTAACTACTTTCAGGTAATTAGCATCCGAAAATTTTAGCATTTAATATTCACAATGAAATAAAGGAAACGGTTACGGCATACCAGTCATGTGAGGTTTTACGCACAACTCCCCGAAAGCTTTCTTGTTCTTGATATCCAAGTGCTTTATCTGAGAGCATAGCAGTCAAGTAAAAGTACGTCTGTTAATTCAATAGGTCAAATCAATACCAGACATAAGTGCCCATGTGTAAACCCCCGCATAAAATGTGCAGATACAATCATTTCTTCTTGACAACTTTGAGAAATTGGTCGAGAAGAATCTATTGTTGCAAGCCTGTTAAGTTTCACATAATAGGAATTGTTGTCCTGCAACTCATCTGTAATCCCATACTGATGAATCCGTAAATAGATGGGCATTTCTCTCATGTGGATTTTGCACCCTCTTATAATAACCCTCAACCACAAATTGCAAGGATGATGTTGTACGTCAAGAGCAATTAAGGGAAGTTGTAAAACTCAAATGGTCGCAGAACTCATGATAGAACGTGGTGAACATGCCATAACATGTGAAATAAGATGAAATATTACGAACAATTTGAAATCTAGATAACTATGCTGTGCTACACAAAAACAAGCAGCAATCTGTTTGGAAACCATCTCTACCTAAACTATAAGTGTGTGCATCTTTCAAAGGAAATATACAGGTGCAGTAATTCATCACACATACTCTGGACAACTCAAGTGCTGAAATCCCATTACAGCCTCGTCTCAAATAATGGAGTAAGGAACAATGATAACTCACTCTGTAGGTATCTCTTGCATGAGGATATATTGCTCCGTCATACAGCATCCTCAAGGCCATCTTTTCATCCACTTCTTCTATAACTTCGTTATCCCCTGCCAGCAACTATTCATTCTACGAAATTCAGATTCACGTGTGGTCACCAAAATAGAAAACAAGCTCCTCATCTTAAGAATGCTTAACATTACCTGAAACCGATTACTGGATAGCCCCCGTATAGATATTTCACTCCCCGGGTGGTCATCATACCGATATCCATACACACTCTCCCCTCTTGGCCCTGTCTTGTATTGCAGAATTCCCTCAGACACAAGCTCGTCCCTCGTCTTCTTGTAGTTCTCTCCAAAGTATTCCACATCATTACCTGTATATCCAAGAGATCCAGAACTCTTTGAACATAATAATGCAGCACGTTGTATAGAATTCAGTTAATCAAACCGCATTTTCATGGTAAATACATCCAGGTGATTATTGTCCCTGCGCTTCACGTACCACTCAGCGGAAGTTCTTGGGCGGCACAAGGAAGCTGCAAGCGCAGTACGTGAGGATTGGTGGGATTGCAAACCGCCTGCTCCACATCTCTACTGAAGAGCTGTAAACCACGTCACAACTCAAAAATGTTAACCTACAGCTCAAGCTGGTGTAAGCATAAATTGTTTTGAATTGCAAAACAGAAGCTCAAGTATTCCATTAGTGATGCCCATTTCAATAATTCCAATACAAAAATGAAGAGCAACTCTCTCGGTGACAGGTAAAAGAGCAAGGACACGGGCCTTTTGAGGGTTCTTCATGTAGAAAACATCAAGTGATCTCTCTCGTCCTAGTATCACTGCCAAGGATGCTCCCTGCCTTCTACCGGCACGACCTGCCTGAAACAAAAACACGTTCACTAAAACCTGATCCTCATTTCAGGCCTACCAAAACACGGTGAACACTAGCTTTTTGTGGAAAAAAAAAACAAAAAAGAGAGAGAAGAAGAAGAAGATGAAGAAGATACGTGGCCCTCACTGCTTTTTACAGCTTCAGAGGATTGGGATCTGAGTAGAACTGACACTAGAATGTCAAATACAGATCCTTCAGTGATCACGAAGTCCAGATAATTCAGAAACCCGGGTACTTCCTATCAAATACATAGCATTCGGGTACTGAGCTCAGGAAATCAAATTGTTGTAATAGGTTTTTACCTGTTGCCACAGGCTGCACATAGTATCTGGTAGTCCTACATGGACAGTTGCATCCAATTTGCCCACCTTCACATACAAATTGTACCTTTTCAGGCCTTTATGCGCATTTTTATCAAGGTATGAGCCAAGCTGCAATATACAGTAGAAACTGTCCAATTGCATACTGTGTAAATGCATAACCTCTCTGAATGCAATTAGACAGGTTCTACTGTATATATCTTGATTTAGGAGTTCATGATGCAGCAAGATTTGAAATAATGTACAACTTCTAAAATCTGAAAGTCAAATATTTCCTGAACTTCTCATAAGCCAAGTAGATATAAAGTGACTTGTTTCTATTTAGCTTTTCGATTTGCAATTTCTCTCAAATCTACGCATGAGACAACGTATGTGGCTCACATCGATCCCAAGTTCCAAGGCTCGAGTGGTTACAAGCGCTCGTAACTCACCATCCTGTAAACGCTGCACCATAAAATCAACCCTAATCATCAAGGTACAATGGTAAAAGTGCAACCCTGGAGAATCGAAATTAAAACCAGCCGACACACTGATGTAACCAGCCAGGAAGGAAACGATGCAAACATCGATAAAGTCGAACCTTTTCCAGTGCTATTCTTTCCTCTTGTGTATAACCTGCTCTGTAACTGTCCACTTTTTCCACAAGATCAATGCGTCTCTGCAAGATCAGAATCATGTTTTCGTAAGCAATGGTTGGTTCCTGTGTACAAGAAACTTCTGCACAAGTAAGAATTTAAAAAACAAAAAAAAAAAAAACAAAACAAAACAAAACAAAAAAAAAACAAAAACAAAAACAAAGTCCCAAACTAGGATTTTAGAGCAGATAGAATTAAAATACCTGTTTAGTAAGTTTCTCACGGACTAGCTTGCAAACAATCTCAGAGGATTTGCGAGCTTCCACAAAGACCAAAATCTGAAGGTCTGCTTTGATCAATGCTACCTGCTCAAAGCAAAGACACATAATCTCTCAACGTTATAAGTTGATTAGTGTGGTACAAAAGATCGAGCTATTCTACTTTGTCTACAATATGCTGCTTAAATTTTCCTTTTCACATACCACAATTTTAACAGCTTCTTTGTATACACTGCGACGAACCCCATACTTCGTTTCTGGTGGCAACCAACATAAGACGTATTTTTCGCCAGCTGGGGCACCAGACCCATGGATCACTTCCATATCGATTGTTGTCAGCTTCTTCACGTGCTGCTGCAGATATGAAAAATAAATCGCATCAAAATTGTGCACCCATCAAAATCTTAGGAACATCATTTTTAAAAAATAATTATGTTTTATTTTTTATTTTTACTTTTATTTATTATTATTATTATTACTATTATTATTATTAAAATTTTAAAAAGATACACCGACGTCTACTGTTACAGGCCCGAAATTCAGATGCTAAGATGTGTGCACATGTAATCGGACTTGTGAAATACCTCTGGGTTGGCAATTGTGGCGGAACAGCATATAAACATGGGCTCCGAACCATAATGACGAGCAATTCTCAAGAGCCGGCGCAATATGCAGCCCTGACAGCTCACACAAAATACATATATATATTAGACGTCAAAGCTGAAGAATGCTTCGACAGAATTTAATAACTTCAGCAGGGAGCAACCGTGGAACAGACAAGAGAAAATAGATACATCACTTCCAATTGAATAAATTTCCGATTCAGTAAATAAATGCAGGATGGCAGCTTACAACATGACTCCCAAATATGCCTCGATACGTATGAGCTTCATCGACAACTACAAACTTCAAGTTCGAGAAGAACTGCTCCCATAACTGCAAGAGTCACCACATAATGGTAAAATTGAATCAAACTACATCCCTCAATAATCAAAGGATTAGATTCTAAGTTGAAAAAAAATGTAAAATAATGCATAAAAAACTAATAACTAAAGATCCATAAGTAGTGGAAATAACAAGACATTACGAAATCTATAGATTTATACGTTAAAAATGAGACAACATTAGCAGTGTACCTGAATCTTTGTGACATCCACAAAAAGTCAACACTGAGAATGCATGATTAATACAGAAAGGAACCAAAAGATGCCTCCACCAAATATCAATTCAAAAATACCAGATAATGTAATGAGTCTAAATCTGACTGAGATAGAACTCTCGTCAGAGGTGTCTTCATAAGTCTAGACTTTACCTTGTGATGGGGAAGAATCCCAAAATGTAGCATATCCGGGTTAGTCAAGACTATCTGCAAGAAAACAAGAATAGTCAAGAATTTCCTGATACACAAGCCCAGATCCCTAATTACCTGCAACGATGGAGCTCAAATCGAAAAATTTCAGAGCGACCACAACTGGATGTCCAACACTCGCATAATAGAAATTGAATGAAAACTGAAAATAGCCCAAAAACCAACCTTTCCAGTCTTCCGTATGTGTGCCTTTTGATCCATGTCAGTATCTCCATCATAGCTGCCAGAATTCCGACAGGATATTCTAAAATTACAATGCAGTTCGTTGAAACGAAACGGACAATCCATTTGGCCACTTCAAGTCGTTCAAACTGTTCATTCAGCACATTTAATAGCCTATCAAAAAATTCTATGTGATCGCTGTAACATGCTTCACAAATTTAATAACGGCTACCCTCACATGAGTCAATACTTATTCTATTGTTATATAGGTGAAAAAATTCAATCATAGATCTGAGCTTGTAATTTGAAAAGTCGTACCAATAACAACGAGAGCCTTTTTTTACTTCCGCCACCAAGTCAGCTGCACAAAAAGAAAGCTCAAATCGATTTAAAACCAGAACCCTCATCGCAAAAGACAAACAAAAAAAATCTACACTCTCTAATTAAATACAGTATCACAAAGAATCCACATTATTCAAAAACGATCGTGCTTGGAAATCCAACAACCACCACCTGAAATGAATCGCTCTTCTATTAGAAATAATTGGACACATCAAGCTTTTCTGAACGAACAAGTGAACGTAACAGAGGTTGATATAATAGCAACTCACATAAGATTTTCAATTGGTCCCGTGCCAGGGCCTGCATGCAGAGAACAACACTTCAGTTGCACTACCTTCATAAAGACAACGCGCAACTCTGGACTTTTTGACAAAGGCGTTGCAAGAATGCAGGTTTCTAAGATGTGGAACAATTGAGTACCTTCACTGGGAAAATGAAGAGAGCTCTTGATTTAGGCACCTTCAACAAAGAATCTAGCACCTAACAAGCAAACACCGGAACGTTAACTCTTTCCTTCTATCACGACAATATAGCCTTCAGAAAATCCAGCGCCAGCTCTGCTCCTTAAAGAGATTAGTGTCAAATGAGGAAACGTTTTTCAGGTCGGAACTACTTCATCGATACAACGTACTGGAATGATATACGTCATGCTTTTGCCAGAAGCTGTTGGCGTCGCTGCAACTATGCTTGACCCATTGAATACTGCATCCATTGCCGCAGCCTGATGCGAATAAAACTTCTTCACTCCTCTGTCGTCAAATATACGTACTTGCAAGTTAGTATTACATGCCCAATTACCAATTTGCTTAAAACAGGGTCATAATGTGTTGATGTCATACACGGTGGTTTTAGTAATACCTTTCTTGAAGAGCCTTCTGTAGCTTCTTTGGAAGCTTGAAGTCCTGGTTGGTATAAGCAGCAGGTCTGCACAATGCCGCCAATCAGAATTTGCTTTTCCACACTGACAACGAGCCAATACTGAAAAGACGAATGGAAGATCCTCAAAACAAGAATCTGCACTACCTCGCTGGGATTTTCTCGATGTGCAATATTTGTCCCTTGGAGGCAACCTCTTCGAGTGCATGCAAAGCACTAGTAACATTAGACTGCACTGCAGATGATGACTGGGTAGACTGCCTACTTGCAAACGATGCAAACTCTTCTTCCCACATTTCCTCCTTACAAATATCATCATGATCATATGTTGCACTCTTGATCTCACTTGTCTCTGTGCTGTTTATTACCTCCCTTACAGCAACCTTCCCAGTCTTCTTCACTCGAGAACCTCCGGTCTTCTCAAAGAGTGTTTTCGAACTTGTATTACCATTCAATGCCCCCCTGATCCCTTGAATAGATGAATCCACATCCAAAGTATTATGGCAGCCTTCACGTTTGAGTCCACCATTGACTCCCATCCCCGAATTGGAAGATTCAATTCTAACTGTGGCAATCTGACCTGTTCCGCTATCATCGAGGACTCTGTCCACTGCTTTACAAAGCTGCCGCTTTCGGCTGCTTTTAGAGGGCCCTCCTAAGATCCCTACTGAACCCTCAATAGTATCATTACCTGAAAATGTATCACCTGTCTTTTCTTCTGCACTTGATGGCTTCTCAAATTCAAATCTGGCTGTTAACTTTACTATGGTATTATTATCGTTATGAAGACGCGAACCAGCGTGCACAGAGTGAGCTGGAAATGGTCCAGAAACATGAAACTTCCCTGATAATGCAACCCCGTCTGGAACTGCTTGTGCATGCAAGTTATCGCTCTGAGCAATCTGAACAGCCGACCCTCCATTCCTTTTAAAACTTGAAAGTTCATGAGCACCTTTCCCAGATCTGGCAGAACTAATTGGATTTGGTACCGCATCATCGCACTGTGAGGGAAGAGATGAAGAGGCAAGATTGTCGTTGGACTTCTTCCGTGTAGATTCAAATGTCGCCCTCTGCAACCTGAGAGATGGAGCCGACTTGGAAGGGGTACTCTGAGTACCAACAAAATAAGGGGATGCCTTGACTACTGGAGTAGTTTTGTTAGGAATATTACTTGCTTGCACTGCTTTTCGCTTTCCAGGTCTGACCTGCTGGACGGAGAAGTAATTAGATGCTTTTCATTTCGGGCCTTCCACGCAACTTGTCTAAGTCAGATGATCAAATTCTACGTCCTATCTTGAAACGGCCTAGGACTACTTTAAACTAAGCACGGAATTGTAACTGAATCGTTGAGGAGTAAGGACAGATTAGAACTGCGTGTGTAACGCATATATTCTGCATGGTTTGAGATGACGTGGAATTCCTTAGAATGCAATAAATGAAGTCCGGTACAAGGTTGGCAGTAACAACACCAGGTGTGGGAATAGACCTTAGCCACCTTGATCCAACTGCAAAACTGCAGTATTAGATCTGATGAGGAAACAAGAAATAATCCCAACTAAAGACATTGCAATGTCCTCAGCCATCAAAGAGTACCCACATTTGGACTGAAGCGAATGCAAGAGACAATGGCAAACTACACTTGATAGCAAACAACATTCTCTACTTTGCATTTAAGCGGTCTAACAGGCAAAACTCAAGTGATTGGCATTTCAATCGACTTACATGGATTATCTCTTGTTTGAATCGAACAAATCAACCCTAAAGAACCTTTACAATTGCAGCTCGAGATTATATCAGAAAATACTAAACACAATCAGTGATTCGCTACGCAAATCAAAATAATCAGCAATGCCTAGCCCCTTGATCCGAAAGTATAATACACCAACGCCTACTGCGCACATTCTCTCTTGCGACACACATAACAGGCGAACAGGCACTTTGTTCACTTGGAAAAGGCAGAAATTGGTAACCATAATTTGAGACCAACTCGTTAATTTTCATAAAAATTGCGTGTCAATTGCATTCGGATCAAAGCCCAGAGACTCGTTGGCTTCCTTAATAAAAGTAGCGGGAACCAGAAATTTCATGAATTTGATCCACATTATACATTGTATGTGTGACACTAACCTGAGACAATCGTAGAGGAAGCGGTTCGAAGTCCCCATCGTCATCGTCAGAAACCTCCACAACTCCACCTCCCTTCAACATGATCACAGCTGCCCTACTTTCCACCAAAAACTAAAAATCACCAACAACCCCCCCCCCCCTCCCCAACAAAAACTTCTCACATTTTGCAGCTCACTACCGATGGTAAACCCTAAACCCAAAAACCCTGTCCAGATTTCTAAACTTCACAGCATTTCGCAAGTCAGGGCTCACTGAAATCCAAATAACCACCTCCTTTGCAATCAAAACACGACGCACAACAAACCTCTTCTGTATTCGACTGAACCCACCAAATAATTTGAACCCTAACGGACAGGAGCACTAAAGATTCAAGAATTTCGCCACAGACCTCGACCATATGTTGAAAATATTGTCGAAATTTCTTCGATGGCTCCCCTCCTCGTAGTAGTTCAGTGTGTAAACATTGTTATCCCCTTACTGGTGAAGAGTAGGGATTCGAACCCGTAATCTATTATGGTAGTTCAGTATATGATGTGCTAACAACCAAACACATTCATCTGTCAGAGTTTTGATAATGGGTGAAATTAAAGAATTTCATATCAAGATGAACGAACATTCAAGTTAGTTGCATTAAATTTAGATTGTGTTTTCAATGTAACAGGAATGTGTCATGTATGAATGCTAAAGAGAGAGAGAGAGAGAGAGAGAGAGATTTAATGTGAGAGACAAAATATGAATAGATGAATAAAAGCCATAAATGAATTCTTTTCTAACTCAAAATTTTGCTGTTATTTTGTCACTCAGACGTATTAATTTATAATTTTCTATTTTCTATTCACATGATGTGGCTCTTCAAAAAGAGAGTATCATTTGGAGTTCACATTAGGGTGGCATGAGATGGTTTAGAAGCAAAAAATGTCTCTAACACTAGAAATTAACCGGAGCTTAAATGAATGACCAAGACACAATTATGTTCAATGAGACATGTTTTTTCTAATAGCATACAGAATCATATATCTAAAAATATCTCATTTCATGTTATCCATCAATATTTATAGATATTTTTCATGATTTTTATGAGCCATTTTATTGAGAAAATTAAAAGAAAACAAATTATTATAATTTTAAATAATACAAAATGTAGATTTATATGTTTATTATTATTTTTAATTGAATAATGCTTATAATTGCAAACCAACTATACATTGTAGGAAAATTAAGAATAATAAAATTATGAAAATTTATAAACTGATCAGCGTTTAGAAATCTTTGCAATTAAAAAAATATTTTAAAACTAACATTATTATCTAAAAAAAACTAATTTAACACAATTACAGTTCTTAGTGTTAGTATAAATCATAGGTTTTTTTCTTATTCTACATGTATTTTGAATTCTTTTCAAGTTTATTATAACTTCTTCTTTTTATAAATTTGAATCTCATGTTATATAATATACAAGTAAAATAAAATGCTTTGTAGATACCATTCATAAAAAATAAAAAATAAAAAAAATCATCAGTATAAAAATAAAATAAAATAAAATAAAACTCAACATTGAAATAATTTATATGTTTTAGAATATGAAATAAGATTATCCTTATCTCATATGCTACACGATTTTATAATAATGGGATAGTTTAGATTCCACAAAAGCAATCGATAGTTTTATAAGTTACTATTGGTCAAAGCAAATTTAGTATCTTGTATTCTTTAACCTTAAGTAAAGATTTATTTTCGATGATCTGCTTCGATCGACTTCAATGCAAATAATTCAACTTCGATGTTTTTATAATTTAGTTTCTATTTCAATGAATTATTTTATGAATAAATGGAAAAAAATTCACTTTCTAGATAATAAATTAATGTAGGGAAACAAAAAAATCAACATTCCAAAATTTCTGCTGTTATTGTTTGCTTTCCATTGATATCGTATTTTTACTAAGAAATCAGTTTTTGTTGTACTTCTAAAGGACATTCTATCCAATTTAAAATTAATGTTTGATTAATTTTTACTGCTTATTCTTCAAGTGATAAAAAGAGTTTAATTAATAAATTTTGTATTTTAAAAAACGATCAAATATATGTAATAATCATAAAAATGTATATTTTCAAAAAATATATATTATTATGAATTTATTATAATAACAAGACACTTTTTCATTTTAATAAAATAATTATAATAATTATAATAATTATTTGTAATTTTAGTTTATTAGTTCTTAATACTCTATAGTTTTATAAAATTATATACAATGATTTGTATATAGAGATACGATTAATAGAAGTTTAAGTTAAAATAAACAAATCAAAACTTCTACTCTAAAGTAATGATAAAATGTGGACACAATGTGTTAATATTAAGACTAATTAATTTGTTACGAGTTGAATTATTAAATATTCTTAGTAAGTATATTTCAAATATGAGGTTATCTAATTAAAAATTTATTTCAATTGTCAAAGTCAATAACATTTCATTATGTTTTTTACCTTTTTTAAAAGAACATAATAGATTTGTCAAGAATATGATTTATGCTTTTAGGTATTTGAAAGTGTTTTTAGAGCTTGACAGTATATTAAATAACATATTAATTATTGTATTTCCAAGTAAAAATGTAAACTTTAATAATAATCAAATAATAAGATAGCAAGTATTAAAAAATAAAAAATATTAATATATAATAGAGCCATTAGTCACTTTATACTTATTAAAAGTTTACAAATCTAGCAAATACTATTTAAAATGCTGTTATAGTACAAATTACTAATTATACAAAATTTAAAAAGATAGTAATTAATTTAAGCTAATAAATAGTATTGTGTAAAAGAAACATCAAAAATATTATTAGAATTTATTTGCAACATGATAAAGTTAAAAATAAATAAAATAAATAAAATAAAAAATTATTAGTTTAAAACTTTAAAAGGATTTTTATTAAAATACTTTTAAATATAGAAGAAATATATATAAATAAAATAAAACACTTCAAAAGTTGTATTAAAACTTATACGTATTAAAAAGGTATTAATTTAAAATAATAAGGTATCAAATTCTAAAAATTCTAAAATATTTTTTATAATAACAATAAGGTTTAAAAAAAATAAGAGGCAAAAACCATATTAAAGACAATGGCTACATCTAAACAAATACTTTACTTGAAATGATTGAGAGATCTTTCAAAAAATACAAAATTTTCATACAAATAAGATTATTTTTGAAAAATAAATAAATTCTTAAGTAAATATTATAAATTATAAGTAAATATAGGATTATGTATATTTGTGGAAGGTTTTTGGTAAGGTTTATTCTTAAATGTAGATTCTTTTGTAAATTGAACAAGTAAACAAATAAATAAGAGTAGTCATCAAAATCCAAACCAAAATATGATAGCACTACAATATCTAAAGAAACATACAAAGGTGCATATCTATATATATATATATATATATATATATATATATACACACACACGACCAATTAATTGAAAAAAAGAAATAGTTGCAAAAAATGAAGTATAATTGTATTTTGTGTTGGTAGTATTGATTGCAATATTTACATTATATAAAAAAAAAAACAAAGATGAAGATTACCAAGTTAAAATAGTTATAGGTACAAAGTGATTCTAATTGATTTTTTAAATATAAAAGTATGTAATAGTAATACTACTATAATAAAAATCCATTTTTGTAGTTGCAATCTATATACTTAAATTAAGACAAATAAGTAAAAATTGTAATACCATTTTAAGTTAATTGAATAATGATTTGATTTCATTCAATAGATAGATTATCAAAGCCATAATACTAAATAAAAATCAATATAAAATATATTTATGTATCATTAAAGAATAAAAAAATAAAGTTAAAAGCTACAAGTATAAGTTAAGAACATTAATATAAATTAATTAACTCAAGGAATATATCAATGACAAGCTTCCTAAAAAATTTATATGCCATTCAATATCTCTAGCAAGAACTCTTATCTTATTTTTCAAGAAAAAAGATGGAACATTACAAACATAAGATAATTATAAAAGACTCAAAAAATCATCGTAAGAAATAGGTATCCTCTATCTTTGAAATTGAGTCTTCTTAATCAATTAAACCAAGCCAAGATCTATAGAAAAATAGCTAAATGAGGAGTATATAATCTAGTATGCACCAAAAAAATGAATGAATAAAAGACTACATTGTCGAATTATGTGTATTCTTACTTAAGAATGCACTAGGCACCTAATTGTGGAAGATAGATAATAATGCAACAACAATTCAACCAAGTCTAATAAAGCCTTGAATAAACTTAAAGTAATTCTTAATAATCCAATCAATCTTTAATTTATTAAAATTAATTTAAAAGAAGTCTCAAAAAATATACAAAGAATCCTAAAAAAATATTTAAAATAGAAATCTTAATATAATCTTAATTAAAATTAAAATTAAATCTTCACCAAATCCTAAGTTAAATTCTATGTCAAATCCTAATTGAAATCTCAATTAAACTTTAATCAAATCTTAAGTCAAATCTTAAGCCAAATCTTAATTAAAGCCCTAATTAGATCTTAATCAAATCTTAGTTCAAATCCTAATGAAATCTTAATGAATCTCTAAATCCTAGATAAATCCTAAATTAAATCTTAATCAAATCTTAAATCTTAAAAAAAATTTAGCAAATCCTATAACAAAATAGAAACTCAATAATTAATAATCAAACCATTCATATTAAGTCAAAATTTATAATCTTTTTAATGCCTTAATTAAAAACAAACATAAGAAAGAAGAAATCAATTGCACTTACCATTTGAGAGAAATGTAAGATAATCCAATTGGATATTAGACAGCATCCTATTTCAATCTAAATGCTAAACTGCTAGCTCTAATATCTCTTTTTTGGACTATTGAATTACTCTCAAATTTCACCTAAAGTACTGGAAATCAAATTTATTATCTACACAAAAAAAATCACTTTAATCTAACTCACAGATTATTGAAGATCTTAGAAATACTCATTGACTTTCAAACTCCAATTTCTAAGACCTCAACCTACAAAAATCTTCACATGCTTTGATCTAATTATTCAATTGACATCAAAATTTGTATACACATTTTTAATTAGCACACCAACACACTACCAAAAATTCATTTGTATACACACCATAAAATTCAAGAAATCCTCAAATTTGTAAACATATTTTTATTTCTCAAAATCTAAACCAACCAAAAATATTACTAACTTTGGAAATCTCTCAAAAACTTAATACTCACTCAATTGACATAAAAATAATTTTTAAAAATCTTTCTTTAAATTTGCTCTCAAATCCCACTCTTTTTTCTACAAAACAAATCCAAAAATACCATAGATGCATGATTTTGTGCCTTGTGGTCTGATTTTGATCCAAATTGACAATCAATCCTCTCTAGATATCAATTCTTGGCTTCATGAAAAAATAATTTATTTTAGTCTACTTTAAAT